AGCATCCTCTTGTATTCACCCGTCCCCCACAATCCTACCCAGTAGCCACACCAACATCTGTTGGGCATTCTGAGTGGAATCTTAACCAACCTTCATGGGAAGAGGGAAGTGGAGTGTTAGTAAGATCATCAGAGAGGATAATGACACTGTAGGAAAGCACTTTTTTTAAAACTTGAAATAAATATGTTCCAAGTTGGGAAATGGGCCTCTAAAATAAATAAAAATTAACTACAGTTACTCATTTCTAAACAAAGAGAGTGTTTTCACATACAAAATTGGCATATATTCTGAACTGAGAGTACGCAGTGCTGTTTTAAGTACAGTGGAAAAGACACTCTCAGGGTGCTCATAAAAGGGTACAAAGATTTCGGAAAGCAGTCTGGTGGAATTTCAAGATCCTTAAAATTTTTCATATCCATTGACATATTAATATATAATTCTGGATAGAATTCTAATATATTCTGAAATAGATTAAAAAATAGTGCACAGAGATAATCATTATTCACCATTGCATAAAGAAGAAAAACTGGAAATGATTTTAATATCCACCTTTTGGGAAAAGTAGTTTGCCAAGAATTTTAAATATAGAGAAATACTTATAATAAAATGTTAAGAGAAAAAGAGCAAGCTGTTACATGATCTAAACTATGATGATATGAGTAAGGAAAACTGAATATGGAATTATAAGGTAATGTTTTCCTTCTAACTTTTTAAGGCCTTACAAAATATCTACAATATGCAAATATTGCTTTAACAATTAGGGGGAAATGGCATTCTCTTGGCTATAATCTGAGAGAAACAGCTTTCCAATACTTTGATTGAGACCTCAGAATTTAAACTCTCTTCACCAGCACACAGTGCTTGGTTAGCTAAAATGATCATTTATAGCATTAAAATAATCCTCTTAGTTCACCATAATGCATTCTACATTCATCCTCAGAAAACTGTAGTCTTAAAGGCAGAAATGCAAACACTCATATAAATCTTCTGACTGGACTCACCAACCAGTTCTTTGAAGCATGTCTCTCTGAGAAAAGAAACTGTATAAATGTTTCCTTCTGAGATGCTTAGACTCTGAAAACTTTCTATATTTAATCCTTAATTGAATTACAGTAACCACAGCCCTGATTACCCACCCACACGCAGACTTTCAGAAATCTTTCGGAGCAGCTTCCCATATACTCCAGGGTTTTCGGTAGTTACAAAATTCAGAGGGTTGACCTCAACTGGATTTTGCATGAAAATATAGCGTTGCCAGTTGGCTTATAAAAGGTCTCTGGTAAGGTTTTAGTGACCATATTTTGGTGAATAGGTGGAACTAGGAAAGAGAGTGGATCATGTCCTGAGATGTCTGTCTCAGGAAGCTACTACTCTTGCTTAGAAAGCTCTCTGCCAGGAGCTAGGGCTGGCACCAGGTGCCATGGGACTGTCGAAAGTTCCTACTTCCTTCTAAATTTAGAAGGCTTTTACAGAAACTGTTGGTCTGATAAGTCAACCTTGCTTTTGAGTTGTGTACTCTGGATACAGTGGGGCCTTGACTTACGAGTGTCCCAACTAACGAGTTTTTTGAGATACCAGCTGTCTCTCAGCCGATTTTTTGCATTGAGTTGTTAGAGTAATTTGAGTTAATGAGCTCCTTAACAAGCTCAGTCTCGGAATGAATTAAACTCATAAGTCAAGGCCCCACTGTACTTATATTTGTCAGATTATATGTACTGGGAATATTTTCTTAACAAGGACTTTAAAAACTTTTGTATGAAGTCTAATTTGTTAGTTTTTTGTTAATTTTAGTGTTTTTATATCCATTCCCAGAAATATTTGCCTACCCCAGGTCACAAAGATACTCTTTATGTTTTCTTATGCAGTCTTTTTTGTGTTCATAGAATTTTATTGTTTATTGAATTTATTGGGATGACAGGTTTATACAGGTTTCAAGTATAAAATTATACAGGTTTTAGGTGTACAATTCTACAATACATCATCTGTATATTGCAATGTGTGTTTACCATGCCAAATCAAGTCTCCTGCTATCACCATTTATCCCCCCTTTACGTTCTTCTGTCATTCCTCACCCGCTTCCCTCTGGCAATCACCATACTGTTGTCTGTGTCCATTGTCTTTTCTTTTTTTTCTTTACTTAATGCCTTCACCCTTCTCACCTAACCCCCAACCCCTAACCTCTTCCTTTCTGACAGCTGTCAGTCTTTTCTCTGTATCCATGAGTCTATTTCTTCTTTGCTTGTTAGTTTATTTGGTTTCTCTTGAAATCATAAATCTTTTGCCTTTTCTTGTAGAATCTTTATGGTTTTAGCTTTTAAGTATGTGCCCTGATCAGGAATCAAACCAGCGACTTTCTGGTACACAAGATGATGCTTAACCAATTGAACCACCCGACCAGGACTATAATCCACCTTGAATTAACTTTTATGAGGTATAAAGGAAGATTCAAAGTTGATTTTCCCCATACATTTGTTCAATTGTTCCAGAACTATTTTGTTAATAAAAACTTTACTTTCCTAATTGAATTTTCTTGACACATTTGTTGAAAATCAATTGATTGACCATATGTATGTGGATTTATAACTAGACTATTGTATTCTACTGATCTATTTGTATATCCTAACACCAATATGATGCTGTTGTGACTACTAAAACTTATAGTGAGTCTTTAAATCATGTATTATAGGCCTTTAATTTGGTTCTTCCTTTCTTTCATCTTTCTTTCATCAAGAATTTTGTTAGCTATTCTAAGTCTTATGCATTTCCATATAAATTTTAGAATGAGCTCTTTAGTTTCTATAAGATATCTGGTAGGATTTTGATAGATAGTACATTGAATATACAGATAAATATGAGGACAATTAATAATATTGAATCTTTTTAAACTATGAACATGGTATATCCTATTTATTTTGGGTATTCTTTAATTTCTCTCAGGAATGTATTACAGTTCTCAGCATGGAGCTCTCGTATGTCTTTCATTAAATCAATCCCTTAGTATTTTATGGTTTTTAAATGGATTTAAATTTTTTTCATTTTCCTATTATTTACTTTTAGTTTATAAAAATGTAATAGGTTTATGCATATTGATAATGTATCCTGTGACCTTGCTAAATTTACCCGGTTAGTTGTTGTTTTGTAGAATATTTAGCATTTTCTATGTAGACTGTCATGTTATCTGCAAGCAAAGACCATTTTACTTCATTTCTAATCTCTATGCCTTTTTTCTTACAGCTTTAAGTAAAATAATCATACAAGAAAATGAAAATATTTAGTGCATACAATTTTATATGTTTTAATATGCCCATAGACCAAAAAACCATAGCCACAATCAAGATAATGAATATATTATTTACATCCATTGCAGTCAAGTTTCCTCATGCCTTTATATGCTCCCTCTTTCCTATCCCTTCTCATCTAAATATCTTTTATTTATTTTACTCATCTTATTGCCTTGGCTAGAGCTCCAAATTATAAATGTCAGGAGTAAAAGAGGGAATATCACTGCAGATCCTACAGATATTTAAAAAGATAATAAGAGAATATTATGAATACCAATATTTAACAACAGATAAAGTGGACAAATTTCTTGGTAAATATAAGTTACTAAAGCTAAAACCAAAAGAAATGGAAAATCTGAAGTACAGTATATCTATTAAAGAAATTGAAGCCTTTTTAAAAATCTGTTCACAAAAATACCTCTAGGCCCAAATGGATTCATTATTGAATTGTATCAATACTGAAGGAAAACAGAGCAATACTACACAAACACTTTCAGAAAGTAAAGAACAAACATTTTCCAACTTGAGCTCTAGCTACTTTGCACCAGGAAGAATAGGTACTGCCCTCCGGGCAAAAGATATGTAATAAAGGGCAGTTCCCTTTTTTCAAGAATCAAATGCCTTCCTGTTTCTGCCCATTTGGGTTGCTTTCCACTGACTTCAAATAGTTGCTTTTCTGTTTTGTTCACAGTTTCTAATTGGTATCAGTTCAATATAAGCTACTCTACCACTTGGGGAATGAAAATTCCTATTTATATTTATATAAAATTTTTGAGAAAGGTATTATGCTTTACTAATATTTAAGATAATAATGGAGGCTCTGTCTTTGCTTGGACCATATACCATATAGGCACATGCCATATATGGAAAAGAAGATAGATGTCCTGAGAGGCAAGTGAATGCAGATGGGATTCAAATGATGACCACTCCCATTGGCCCCAGATTATGATGAAATTAAGTTTATCTGGACCATAAGGGATTTACAGATTTTATTACCAGTTTTGACTAATGAGTCTTTGCAATTTGGACAAGCCTTTAAAAGGATTTCTGCAAGGAAACCAAGGGTTGAACATAAAGATATAAAAATAACCCATCACCAACTTATCCTGCTTCTAAAACTAGAACTAGCTCTTTGAGAGAGACCTTGGAAAGTAAAAACGATGATCCAATCTGATGATAAGTCACTTTGAGAGTGTGACCGAGACTGAAAGCAGCAGGGCAACCTGGAGCTTCATGGACTATCAACTGTTGGTGGTTGAGAGAAAGAAGTAAAAGAACTGGGTGGGTGACCCAGAACGCCGACAGCAGGGACAGAGAGGGCCAAAGGGTGTATAGCTGCTTAGCATCAAACCCACAGGTGGTATTTTGTCTTGTATTTAAAGAAGGTGGGGGGATGATAAGTAGCAATGAAAGAGATTTTAAATGAAAGTTACTTTTATTTTATTTTATGACTATTTTAGGCAAAAAAATGGAGCTTTGATTTAACTTTCCCACATAATTGACTCACTAATAAAATTACTTTGGATATTTAATAAAGGAAAAGCATAATCTGAGATTTTTTAAGCTAGAAATGTTAATTAATTTAAATCATAAAAGCATTTAAAATTATTTGTTCCTTTCATTTTAAACCATGCCCCTCCTCCACCCCCACCACCCCCAGTCTCTCTCACCTCCTTTTCTCAGCCACACTTATGAAAACAGTTGTCTATACTTACTCACCCCATTCTCGTAACTCCCCTTCAGTTTTGAAACCACTGTGATTTGGTTTCTGAAACTCTCAATGGTCTTGTGACTAAAGCCAGTACACACTCTTTCTATTTTTACCTTCCTGACCTCTCCACAGCTTGTGTTGCTGTTTACTACACTTGATTTTTAAAAACATTTTCCCTTAGTGTCTATGACATGCCACTCTCCTGGTTCCTTGCTTACAATTCCTTTTCAGTTAACTTAGCAGGCTCTTGTTTCCTTCTCTAATCCTTGGAATTTCAATATCTTGCAACATCCTGACTTAGTCACCATTTGTTCCCTAGTTTTTAAAAAATTCTCCCAGATATTCTGAGTCATCCTGTTGGAATTATTTTCTCCACCCTGGTAAAGTCCAAATCTCTGTTTTCAGCCCATACTTCATTCTTGAGTCCCAAATTGTATATCCAACTGCCTGTTTAACTTCAACACTTGCGTGTTCCAACTTGCTTGAAACTGAACTCATTATATTGGCTCCCCACCTTCAGCTCATCCTGTGTTCCTTGTCTCAAGGGAATGGGAAATTCAGTCGTTTACATCTGATTCCTGGGAGTCACCCTTGACTCCTCTTCTTCCTCGACCCCCCATATTCAATCAGCCACTTAGTGTTGCCAGGTGAACCTCCTAAACATCTCACAAAACCATCCATTCCTTTCCAACACCACTGTATTATCCTATGCTAGCCACTACCAGTTCTCACTTTGATTCTGCATTCGTGTTCTAATTGTTCTTCCCACTCTCATTCTGTTCTCCCTCTAATCTGTTCACACTGCACCCAAATTGTCAGAAGATTTCATCCACCCTGCTTAAGACCATTTGATGGCTCCGCAGTGCTCTCACAATGAAGTCCAACTGTCGTAACATTCTGACATGAACTGATAGGTTACTGGCTTTCAACATTCTGCACTTACCTTGTCATAACACTAATTGCATGATAATATTTTGAAATATCCATCTTTGTGCTTTTCTTTTCGCAGCATCCTGTGCTAGTGTGACTTTTCCCTTTGTCAGAGACATCTACTTTGCCTGGAGAAGTAGGATTGTTAAAGCAGGAATTTAAAAAGCAGGGAACAGTCAATGTTCAGTATTTCTTTTTTTAAAACCTCTAAACAGGCTTTTGAATATCTGAAGAGAAGTCCTGCGGGAATTTGAGAACAGAGTTTAGACTGTAAAAATAGAAGTAGAAAGAGGATAAAAGAAAAATGGAGCATTGCCTCCCCACCACTACATCTAAATAGAGAGTCCTTTGGGCTGAGGAGGAGGAGTGTGATGGGGTGGAGGACAGGCATGGCCTTAGAGGAGGGGGCCTGGGAATGAGAGGTCTGACCAGACAGGACAAATATAGGCAAGCAGGGCCAGCATCAGGAGAATTGCTAGCCATGGGGGACAGTCCTGGGGATACCTGCTGAAGCTGAACCAATGCCTACAAACCTCTTGTAACCATCGAGGCATACCACACACTGCTCAAAGGGAGAAGTCATGTCAGCCATTTGTCTTGTTTTTGACAGTTTTGATTCTAATAGTTGTTTATTGTAGTTTTTCATCTGAAATACATGGGTAGTCACTGCTCCCCTCCATTTATTAAGAGCTTAGGATACTCATAAACTCTTCTCTCAACAGAGGGTGATGGGCCCTGATACCTAAAGACGAGATGGTGATATGGAAGGGACAGTCCCAGCACTGGCTTGGGTGTAACTGGATGAGTGAAACACAGTCCTACCACACACTTACTATACACTATTGTAATACCTTCCTTACTTTTCCTATCTGCTATTAATTGTAAGCTTATGAAGGCAAAGATCATGTCAGCCTTGGTCAACATTAGACCCCAGTGCCCCATGTAGTGTCTGTATGTTGTGTGCTCTGTAAACATTGGTTGGTTAAATCAAAGAATGAATGATTTTAAATTAAGTGATTTTGCGCCCTAACCGGTTTGGCTCAGTGGATGGAGCGTCGGCCTGCAGACTGAAGGGTCCCAGGTTCGATTCCAGTCAAGGGCATGTACCTTGGTTGTGGGCACATCCACAGTAGGTGGTGTGCAGGAGGCAGCTGATCGATGTTTCTCTCTCATTGATGTTTCTAACTCTCTATCCCTCTCCCTTCCTCTCTGTAAAAAAAAACAATAAAATATATTTAAAAAAATAAAATAAAATAAATTAAGTGATTTTAAGTGGTATCTTTAAATATTGAACTTGCATGTATAAGTGCATAACCCATGGACACAGACAATAAGGTGGTGAAGGGGGCTGGGGTGGGCTATAATGGGTCAATGGGGGGAAAAGGGGGACATATGTAATACTTTCAACAAAGAATATTTTAAAAAATTTTTGATTGATTAATTTCTTTAAATATCAAGATAGTAATGTCCTTTTAGCCTAAGCTGTAAAGCCTAACACTTTAAGAAATTAAGTTAAGGAGCTGAACTATTCATAACTTTTAAGTAATTTTAGATTTTTCTGTTCTGTTAAGACATTCCAACCTTAGAGGCCTGTTTACAGTCTCCTGTGTTCACCTTTTGGAATCTCATATATATTTGATATTTCAAATAAGGAAGTCATTTGAAACATGACAGCTAGCGAGTTAGAACATGCATACATGTCATTATGAACAAATTCCATTCCTTCCATTTATAAAGGACAAGTTAACATACAGAAGATTACAAATTATACTGTTTTCTTTTATACTTGTAGTAGAGTCAATAATGGCTCTCCAAAACATCCATGTCCTAATCCTTAGAACCTGTTACCTTATTAAGTTCAGCATCTTAAAATGAAGAGATTATCCTAGATTCCCTAAATTAGGCCCAATGTAATCATAGGAGTCTATAAGAGAAAGGCAGGAGGGCCAAAGTCAAAGGAGATGTGATGATGGAAATAGAGAGAGATTTGAAGATGCTCTATTGCTGGTTTTCAAAATAGAGGAAGAAGTCCTGGACCAGGTAATGCAGGCAGCTGCTAGAAGCTAAAAACAAAACAAAACAAACAAACAACAACAAGGAAATGGATCTCCCCTAAGAATCCCAGAAGGAATGCAGCCCTGCTGACACTCTGATTTTAAGACTTCTGACCTCCAGAATTATAAAATAAGAAATTTGCATGTCTTAAGCCACTAAGTTTTTGGTCAATTATGACACAATATAAAGCTAATACAGTTCTATAAACTTTGTTAGTTGTACCAGGCATGTTCAGAATGCTAGCTAAGAGAAGATGTTTGAGAAGAACTTTATGATGTTCAAGTAGGACAGAAAGAGAATTCTATAAACAGATCGGGTGATGCTAAGAAACTTAAATTATTCATTTATGTATGAATTGCCTTATGTATATTTATAAGCATCTGTCTGAATATTATAAAACATATCCCGATATATATATATATATATATATATATATATATATATATATATAT